AGCGCTAATACCACTTTGATAGGGCTAAGATATCCAGTGAGTAGGAAGAGGCCCTGGCTTATCTCCAGCTCAGATCTAAGAAGACTGAGGAAACATTGTCTGGCAGATGAACCTACATAATCCCAGCTGCATAACACAAAAACTATGTTCTTTTGCTCTTCCAGTGACCATCCTGGAAAGCTGATCTTGTCCTAATGAATCCTTTGGGAATGCTCTAAACACAGGCATTTACGAAAGGGACTTTAAGTTCAGCTGGGAAGCAACATAGGGAGTTTTTTTCCTCCCTTTCAGTTAGCTATAACCCCATATTGGGACTTTCGCAAAACTGGCTAGTTGCTTCACATTACCCAACTTTCCTCCTTTACCCATAAATAATTTCACAAGATTTCAAGCAAATTTGGTACTGAAAACCCTCAACCATAATACAATGAAGATACCAATAACTCTCAGGAGAGTGAGCCAACACCAAAATGTATTTTCCAACACTGCTCCGATAGACTCAGAGTGAGTAAGATAAGGTACCTGAAATTAGGTTCTACTCACTGAACACAAAGCAAGTAGTCACTCTACTGTAGGCACAAACATATGCAATAAATTAAGTTAAATTTTAGCTAGATGCTGAAAATGTTTTCCCAAGATTTTATTTGCCCATCAACACTTACCTTTGGCATTCTAAGTCCAGTAAGACTAATTAAGAGAGTTGGGGATGAAGTCAAGATCTGGGGGCCACTTTCTTCTGTTCTGTTTCAGAGCCACAGCCTACCAGCCATATGCCAAGGTGGACTAGGTTAAAGAAATACAAATCCATTCCAACCACTGGAGAAATAATAAAACCCAATTTTCCTCACCTCAGTCCAACCAATACACATAAAATTAGCACCATTAGTCACTCCCTTGCAGCTATAGGACAAGTTAAAATGCAAATGTCACCCCAGAGTAATAAACCATTGACCCATTATTCCTATTATAAGGAATTAGTAGATCTGATAAACTAGCTTTCACTAAGGGATCGCTGGGAAAGGAATCAATCCAGCACTTAGCTGCATTGCTCTTGTGGGAAGGCAGAGAACCGAGAAGACGCTGGGAAGCCCAGATGGGTTAGAGAATTGAAAGGGCTGTTTAAGGATACACTGGGCCTTGCAGGGGAAGGCGAGGAGGGGCACACCTGTAGTCAATAACGATGAATTCCAACATACCAGTGTGGCTGGGGCATCATCTTCCCATATAAAGGATAAGCACAATTACTTAATTCAAAATCGTGCTGGATTTGCTACACCTGCCTAGCGAAACATTTAAGGCTGCATTGCTATCTCAAACTAGAGAATTTCTTAATAGATGATTTTGACTCAAATTCTACCTTCTATAGAAAAGGACTTGGTGTAAGAGAACCTGGGACTTTGAATCAGGAAGACTCATCTTCATGAGTTCAAATCTAGCTGTAGACACTTACTGTGTGACCCTGGGCAAGTCACTTAACCCTGTAAGCCTCAGTTTCCTCATCTGTAAAATGAACCGGAGAAGGAAATGGCAAACCACTCCAGTATCTTTGCCAAGAAAACTCCCCAAAAAGGGGTCACTAAGAGTCAGACACAACTGAAAATGACTGAACGACAACAGAGTATTTAATAGTAATTTAATGATAATGTGAACTTTCCTCAATTCCTGGTCCCACCAGATAATCAGTTAGGTAGCACTTGCTTCAAAACACTTGTAAAAATAATTTTTCATCTTGTCTATAAAATATTTGATTTTGCTACGGAAATCAATGGCTTAAAAACTGAAAAATGAAAGCCCGATGGATCAACCAGTGAATGGTTTCTTCTCCCTAACGTCTTTTCCCTTCTTCGCTTCTTTCTTACGTTTCACAGCATCCTTATTTCTGTTTCATCAAGGAACCTAGAAATGATTAGTAGAGATCTCTTACACTTGGCTCCACTTCCCACCCCTGCTTATCTATAATCTGCAAAACAGCTGTGACCAAGGGTAATTGTAGAAGCATTCTATAACTCTTCGTGTACATTTTATTAGAGGATTTTTAACTGCTCTTTTAATTTAGTTTTATGCAATTCCATTATGTATTACACATTAACTACAGGCTACATAGCAGAGACTGACCAGCAGGTGGCATGAACATCTAAGTTAATAATGCCGTGAGTTTTCCTGCACAGGCCAACAGAAGATTAAATGCTCAAACCACTAATCCACAGGAAAGCCCTAAGGCATCTAGACACCCTTTCGAAACCAAAATAATTGCACTATCACATAAGAAAACATCAGCAACTTTAAAATAAAAGCATTAGCAACTTTTTTTCAAATTCAAAATTTTTATTGATAGTTTTTTTAAAAATATCACCCTCATTTCCAAAATATCCCTCTTCTTTCCCCTACATTAGCAACTTTTAAAAAAGAGATGTTGAATAATTCTCATAGGTTAAATCCAAAACACGTGAGTCTTCTCAAAAGGCCATGTAATTCCTGATTCTTCCCAAAACACATAAATCCTATTGTTTTGTCTTCCATTTCCCCCTTTTATCTTTCAAAAATTTTCTCTCCCAAAGCATTTCAGTAACTGTACTCCTAAGCACTTAAAAATCACAGCAGCAAGCAAGCAAGGCTCAGTGAATACACTAGGTGTCCTAGGAAAACGTTTGTTATTAGTTAAATATGGTTTTCATAGGGCCTGATGAAAGATTGTATGTCTGGCACCTAAGCTAAGTTCAGAGAGGTTTATCCTCGGAAAGTTAGCTATGATGATGATTTTATTCAGCTAATCCTACCCTACCACCCCCACCCCCCACAATCCTGTGGTATTGAGGGGTCATCTGCAATAAGAGTCTGATGAAATCACAGATTGAGGTATTATCTTTAAAAGTTACTTTGAGCCCCATGCAAGAACAGCATTAGTCTTCTGGCTAAATATTTTCAGCTAACTGTTGTATTTCAACTAGTGTCCTAGTCTAAGCAAAGGACTGTACAATCTGGCTCCAAAATGTTAGATGAGTGATCTATGGCTCCAAGTGTGGTCTTTCTCCCCCCCCCCCCCATTCCTACAAATAAACATCTGTTCCCTACATTTGGACCACTGCCTAGAGGTTTAGCAATAACTTGCCCTCACACATTTGGTGGCCTGATAAATCTCAGGGCCATGTAGCCAATATCTGAAACACTTCATTCTGTGTTTGCCTTTCCTGGACTGCTCATATATGACTTAAGGAATAAAAAGAGAGGAAGCTGGAAAAGACATCTGTATTACAAATACAGTATACTTGCCTGCCCTAAAAATACTAATATATGTAGTCATTTCTTCCCCCCTCCTACTTTACCAGATACATAAGCATTTTGTGGTCAAACCTCAGCTTATAAAACTGCAGCAGAATGAAGTCAGGAACTCAGTGATCCAAAATCAGCCTTTCAGAAACCTATATTAGGCTTTTATTTATTTTTCGTATGCAAAATAGTTCCAAGGAAAGTGAAGTCAAGACTTAAGTTCCATATTCTCAGTTCTTAGAGGAAAGCTAATTTTAAAAGGGAAGCTTTTCTACCTTAGCACATAAGCTCACCATTGCCTGGCACTGAATGCAAAACTGATGCTGATTTAGCACTATGAAACCAAAATACCAGAACTGCATTTTCATTTGACTATTGCAATTTGAGGAAGCACCAGTCAAAAACAGTGAGAGTTATTAATACACAGAAAACCACAATAGTTCAATTTATGTGGAGGCTTCAAGCACAGAATAGCATAAAATCTGAACTAACAGCCATATATGCAATGTTCTGCTTTCTTCAGCCCCACCTCCCCAACCAGACAATACTATTAGATCAATTAACAGTTTTCTAAGGTGAATGCTTGTTGCATAAGTGAATAAATTATTTACATGAATTAAATAAGAACAGGTTAGCCCAAATGTGCTATATTTGAGTAACAAAATGTTACAGTCTGTATTGCTACCTGGAACCAAAGCCAGTTTCTTGATTGGCAGGCTGGATCCAAGTACTACTACTCTCTGCAGAAAGGGACCTGGTATATAAGGCAGGTCCCAACATGAACTTTATCCAAGGGGCTTACTACTGGAAATGCCAGAAAGATTTTGTAATGACACTGTCTCACTTATAACACAGTCCTGTAGAACTAATGCCAAAGACAGCATCATTAAGAGATTCTGATGGGATTAAGGACAAATGGTAAATGTAAACACATATTTTACTTTAAAAAGTCTTCAGACTTAAAACCGAAAAAACACAAAGCATAAAGTAGATGCTCTTCAGTCTCCTGACCCACAAAATAGAACTCTTAAGCTTTAAAATACAAGTCACAACAATTTTAATTTTTTTAAAGAAGCATTAAAATTGTACCCGCTCCTTCCTCCATTCCTTCTCTCCTTCCTCCCTCTCTGGACTAACTCCATGCCAGAACCTATTCCAGACAGCCACTTTCCCTCCTTGCCTTCCGTCTTGACTAGGACTTCATGTTTGCTCGTAGGACTTGGATGAGATGAGAGTCAATGTTCCCTCCACTGAGGTATGGCCCACCACCTGCTCTGCCTCTACACCTCCATATTCCCCATCACTGTCGCCTGAATCTACTTCTATAACATAACCTAAGGACCAAAGGTGATTACCATTCACCCATTCATTCAAAGTCAAAACTTATATACAAACTATTCTTTAACTCTGAGGACTTTTGAGTCTTTCCACATGCTTTGCATCCAAATTCTTTTACATGTTATCTCCCCTAATTAGAATGGGAGTTCCTTAAGAGCAAGGTTGATCTCAATATTTTTATTGATATCTTCAGCACTTATCACAGTAGTTGGCATATATTTAAACATTTAAATGCTTTTTCATTCATCCCTTCCTTTACATTACGTATAAAATACAATTCCTATCCCCTTGGAGCTTCCAATTTAAAGAAGAAAATTAAATGTATAGATGGCTCCCTGGGAGAAGGGAAGGAGAGTGGATGTAGGGGGGAAATTAGGCAATGTGAAAACAAAAGGTCCTGGTAAAAATTTATTTTAAAAAGGAAAGAAAAAATGAGGTATGAGAATGAACACACAAACACACAACTCAACATTTACAAGTTAAAAACCACAGTATTGTTCTCTTGTGGAATAAGAAGCAGAGGCAGTAGGATGCGCCCTCAAGAATTCCTGTCCATAGCCATGAAGAAGCAGCTACAGTTCAGTTAAGTCCTGAATACATACGCATATCTATCTCGATGTTAGCTCTTTTCTTTATAGCATCTTTCATCAAGCATTTCAACAATATCTAAGTGAAGGAAGCAATTGTCCCTATCTAAGGGAAAGCTAAGCCTCAGTGGTCCAGTGGTGTTTGAAGAGGAAAGACAGCTGTATTTTGCAGACAGCAGTTTGTGCCCTGCAGTTATAAAAATGTCATTTGACTTGCAAACTGGATCTGGAAGTCGTTGATGGAGAATAAACGGAGCCATGATGTCATTCCTTTTACACAGTCTGTTTTCCTGACCATAACCACACTTTAATCACCATAGCCAATGACTGGGATTCAAATTCCGCATTCTAAAACAGGGTCGCTGCAGTAATGGAAAAATACCATCACTTGTAATATTTGGAAAATGCAGTGTGAGGTTTTCGTGTGCTTTTAAAATAAAACAAAAACAAAAAAGCACAGCAAACATCTGCTTTCCATCAGCAACAGCATTCTCAGCAGGGGGAATGGATGCTTCTCTTGGAGTTGAATATGCTGAAATAGCCACAGCATGAAAATGTCCTAAATTCTCACTGTGTCTGTAAACCAGTTATCTAGCCAATTCACCCCCAGCGTTCTAGGGAACTTTCGAGAAACACAAACTAGCAGATACAATTAGGCCCAGGAGATGCAAAAGGTGTAAGAACCGAAATATACTTGTAATTAATTCCAGTTCCCTTAAACTATATATTAAAATGCACTTAGGGAATATTCCTGTGCAAATCTTCTACTTCCAGTTCCCACATGCTTTCATGTATAGGGTTTTCAGAAAGATCTGTCATCTTCACAGCTTGAAGACAAGGTTCAGGGTTGCAGGTCTGAATGACTCCCATCACCATCACATATTTCCCTAGGACCAAAAAAAAAAAAAAGTAAATATAGTTACTGAATATATCAATTAAATTTTGAAGCAAACAAGGTTCTGATTCTTCAAGGAATATAACTACCCTAGATCGACAAAGTAAATACTTAGTACCAGAAGTAGAAAAAAAGATGAATAAACAGTAGAGATCAAAATTCCAAAGCAGTGGGTAATCAAAGGAATGAAGTAGTATAAGATATGTAAAGCACTTTGCAAACCTAAAAGCACTATACAAATGCTGGCTATTATTATTAGGAAGGAGGTGGGTGGAGAGGAGTCTAGAAAGAAAACGCAGCTGGATAATGTCAGTATCTTTAGTTTCAAGTTAAAAACAAAACCGTAACAGTTAATCCTCATGCAAATAATGACACGCTGTGATGAAAATGACTTTGACTATTAAGGTATACATTAGAATTAGATGGAAGCTTATGAAAGTAGAAGAAAATCCATGTCACCTAATATAATGCTCCTTTACTGACAGCCATGGAAGAGCCCTACAAGAAAAGAGCCAACCCATGGTCTCGGCAGATGGGACAATCTTCATCTTTGCAGGGCGTAGGGTAAACTTTTCTGACGGATCCACAGAGAGCAAATCCAATTTTCCTTTGATAGTGCCAAAAAAAGCTTGGCAGACAGCACCATTCTGGTCCAGATTGCACAAAACTGATATCCTGCCACCTTCCACTTAATCCCAGACCACTCACTGGGCAAACTAAAATAAATCAACAAGACGGCAGTCTGCCATATTAATGATCTAATGACATATTAACCACTACCCTCTTCCCAATTCCTCAGAGAAGTGGTCCTCCTTGAAAGCAAAACTTGGCTGATCTAAACCACACAAAACTCAATTGTGTATAAAACCCCAAACAGCATGAAGGACAGGCAAGCTGCCAGGCCTTGATACATGCCATAGAGCTTCTGTCTTTGTTTTTTGTTTTGTCACATTATCTCCATCCTCCAGGACAGATTTATATTCTTGTCCTTAAGGCTGGGACCAAAAGGAGCCAGGTAGATTCAGTCTTAGGTTCTCTTTTCTTGACCCTACCACAGGTGGTAGGGTCTCCACTTAAGCAATAACACCCTAGTCTCCCAAGAGGCATTCAAAAATTCTAAATCTACATCTGCTGTACCTTTTGCATGATCTGGAGTTGCAAAGCAGAATGATTGGTGACCCAGAGAAGAGAGAAGTCAAACAGGAAGACAGAGAGAGATGCTCTCAACTGACAGCTATCAAGCCGTCAAAAAGCAGAGGCTTTGATAGGGGCCTTAGGCATTCTCAGAAGATTGTTCCAGGGAAAAAGTGATGTGAACAAAAAGTTGTTGTTGAGTCTTTTTTTTTTCCCCCAGTCATGTCTGACTCTTTGTGACCCTATTTGGGGTTTCCTTGGCAAAGATACTGGAGGGGTTTGCCATTACTTGCTCCAGCTTATTTTACAGATGGGGAAACTGAAGCAAACTGGATTAGGTGACTTGCTCAGGGTCACACAGATAGAGATAGTAAATGCTTGGGGTCAGATTTGAACTCATGACAGTGAGTCTTCCTAACTCAAGGGCTGGCACTCCACCCACTTCAACACCTAGCTGTCTCAAAAATAGACGGAAACCTGAACAATCAGCAAGCAGCAAGTTTCTAGATAAGAAGAAAGAGCCCAAATGGAATTCCCTGGAGAACTGCTGGGAATTGAATGTGACTGTAAGCTCCCTTGGCTTTGGGGGGCAAGAGTAGTTATTTACAAGCAGTCAAGAGCAGTAACTCTAAGATAGATTGCATACAAACCCAAAAAAAATCCAAGGAAAGCAAAGAAGATGGTCAAGATTTGTACTCTTTTAACAAAGCCATTTATGCTATGCAGTCGCAAGGTGTAACTACTGTTATTTTGAAGATTAATGTTTCTTTGATTATTTTTGGTTTGTTTTTCACTTTGTTGATGAAATCCTAATTTCCCATAGATTATTTTAGAAGCATATTAGAGAAAAACCAAGTACTTAGAAAACAAAAATAAATCTTGAAAAAATTTTTCTGTTATTCTATAAAATAAAGAATAGCCTTAAGTGCATTAACTATTAAAAATCAATCACACGGCTGAAAAGTTGGTTTGTTGTTAGTTTAGATTCAATCACTGAATTTCTGCTATGATGAATGATCCACAATCTGTTTAGTGTCAATCTGTCCTGGTAGAACTTATATAAAATCATTTTTACCCATTTGTAGGTTTAGCTTTTTGGAAATAAAATGATTCCATATCTATGTATCTTTGTCCATTAAAAAAAAAAGAAAGAAAGGCTTTTTGGTTTTAAATCTTTTAATCCTATGAATGGCCTGGAGGGTGGGGAGGGAGGTTCAAGAGAAAGGCCCAACAAGTCACAGGATCATAGATGAAGATTTGGAAAGGGCCTTAGACGTCCCCCAGAAAACTGGAGCCTGGAGTGGTCAAGTGACTTTCCCAAGGTCACACCCTAACAGACCTGGGATTTGAACTGAGTTCCTCTTGGATTCAGATGGAGCATTATTTCCCCTACATCACAGGATGACACTGAAGTTCCCTTCCACCTTATAAGAACAATAACAACCCACACGTTAGACAAGTGCTTTTGCCAATATGATCTTGTAGAACCTCACAACTTACCCAAGGCCCAGGGCTGCATTAAAACCCAGGCTTCCCTGATTGGTCCCTGCACTCTACCCCAAAGCATGCATCCAGATGCATGGACCTAGGTTCATAAATTCGGCCTGGGAAAGGGTCTTAACGGTCACTGAGTCCACTCACTCTCATTTTATTGACAAGGAAACTAAGCCTCAGAAAGGTTAGGTGATTAGCAGAGGCTCACACAGCACAGAAAGCTTCAAGCCAAGGTTAAAACCCAGCCCTCCTTAACGCCAGCTCCAGAACTCAGAGATCCGATTGTAGATTTATAAAGTTGGCATTGTAAGGGGCTATCTTAGAGGTTATTGAGCCCAATTCCTTCATTTTGCAGAAGAGGAACCAGAGGTTCAGAGAGGTTAAGTGACTTGCCCGGGGCTATACAGCAAGGAAGTGTAGGTGGCTGCACCTGAACACAAGCCTTTCTGGCGCATGTCTTCGGCTCAATCCTTGTCTCCATGTGGCCGAGTCTAGCTTGCGCGAGGGACCGCGGAAGGTCAGGCTGGGGGCGGGGCCAGAGGGCAGACGTGACCAATGTTAAGGAGGGGGCGGGGCCGTAGGGGGCGGAGAGAGTTACCTGGGGCTACGCAGGGCTTCCCCTGGGGCACGCGCTCCAGGCCCCGCACGGTGAAGGAGCCGCTCGGGTCCCGCAGCCGCGCCCAGCCGCCCCGCTCCGCCACTTCCACCACTCGGCCCTGCATCCACACGGCCGCCAGCTCCAGCGGAGCTCGGCTCGCCGGCTCCCGGGCCAGCTGCCAGGCCCCGGGCCCGCCTACGGCGCAGTGCCGCAGCTGCCCGGCCAGCAGCTTCAGCGGGGGCGCCGTGGGGAGCCGCACCGAGGGGCCCGGGCCCCGGCCCGAGCCGGCAGAGAGAGCGTCAGACGCCATAACCCCAACCGCACTCTCCCGCCAGCTTTGACGGACGGCGCTAACGGAGTGCGGTTCCACCAATCAGGAGCGCGCGGGCGGAGTCCGCCAATGGACAGGGCCGGGAGGCGGTCTTGGGAGGAAAAGGCGGGGACTGCGGGAGCTCGCGCGCTGGGTTATTAAATGCATGGAGGGCTTGGCAGGCGGCCGTGGTGCGTCCGAGAACTTAGGACGCCTCCCTGCCCTCCCCTCCCCACCCCTCCCCTCTCCTCTCCTCCCCTCCCCAGGGCGCAGTTACAGCCGTCAGTCCTAAGCCTCTCCATCAGATGATGAATGTCCGACTGAAAAAGAGGAAACGTTCCAAAGCGTCCAGCCACTATATCATCATCTCGCTGACAACTGAGAGCCCTGGTTTATTGCAAAGATTTCTCGGAGAGCTAAGTTTGGTTCTTCACCCAGCTGCTTACCAGCCCGCCTCAAAGCAGATATTCAATTTAATTTAATAAACATTTATTAACTGGCTAAGCACTGGGGCAGTCTGTGCCCTCAAGGAACTTGCAATCTGTGTAAAGCACTTACAAGACCTTAAAGCCTTATGTACATACTGGCTATTATTATTTCTCAGTATTAGGCAAAAGCGTCGGGTTAGATATTATCAACTAAATAACATTATTGGAAAATAATGCATAAAATTTTTAATATTGTTATACTGTATTATCAGGAAAGAATATTAGTTATTAGCATGCATTGCTTTAAGGTTTGCATGATATTGGGAAATATGCAAACAGGAAATAATAATGGCTAATATTTACATAGCACTTTAAGGTTGGTATAATGCTTTACATATATTATCTCTTAAGCAGCAGGGTGGGAATCCAAATCTTAAGGTGCTATATAAAAGTTAGCTTTTATTTATTTTCCAATAATATTATAGTAATATTATTTTATTGAGTAACAATACTTGCTAACATTTATATAGCACTTCAAGGTTTGCACCATACTTTAACATTGTTTGGAAATTGCAAAGCTCATTTGTAGACCTCAAGCTTCCTTTCTCTGGGTCGCAGCTTTTTCATATAAAATGAGGTTCGTGGACTAGATTGGATGACCTTTAAGGTTCCACTCTGTTCTGAGTCCTGTGTTTCCCATAATTTAGGATCTATTCAAACCTATCCAGTTTCCTACCACAAATGGAAAGTCCTGAAACCCTAAGTCTGGACAGGACCACAAGAAGTTAGTCTATTCCCTGCCTCTGGTCAGGCCCACTGTTTACATTATCCCAGGGGTGATACACTATTAAAAGCTCACAAGGGTGGAAATTCTTTGGTTGTAGGGTTCTATAGTTTCATCATGATTACCTTCTGATTTTGGTCTAAACAATAATCTCTCTTGTTGCTCATCTGTGTCAGATAGTTCAAACTTCAATCATCCCTCCATACATACTATTAATAAAAATGAAAATGAGAAAGAAGAGTGGTGGGGAAAAGAGCTCATTTTCTTACCAGCAAATAACCAGGAAAAGTAGGTATAGTACCTCTTCTGGGATCACTTCCCAACTCCCACTCACACTGGTGGGCCAAGTTTTCAAAGGATGGATGGCTATATCTCCCCACAGGGTTCTAGGAGTAATGGTGAACAATTGGAGTTTCTAGTAGGATAGGTCATGAGCAATGTTCAGAGAGAAATTATAATTAATTCCGTTTTTGACAAATTGAATTCAAGATGCCTAAAAGATTTCCAATAGGCAGCTGAAGATGTGGCACTCAGTAGAGAGGCTAGGACTAAATTTATATAGATTTGGGGTCATTGTATAGATATGATTAAACCCATGGGAGCTGATCTGCTTACTAAGAGTGTAGAGAAGCAATAGAAGATGGTCCAAGATTAAGCCTCAGAGTTCACTTATAGTTAGGAGGTATATGGATGATCAGACAACAAAGGAGACTGAGGAGGAATGGTCAGACAGTTAGGAAGAGAATCAAGAGAGAAGTGTCATGAAAGTCCGGAGAGATGACAATATTCAGGAGGAAAGGGTGGTCAATAGTATCAAAGTTGAAGAAGCTGCAAAGTTCAAGAAGGATGAGGAATGAGAAAAGACCACTAGATTTGATCATTAAGAGATCATTACAGCCATTTTAGATAGAAATTGGGAATTATGTCCATAAAATTACTAAACTACATATCCTTTGATCCAGAAATCCCAGTATTCAGCCTATACTTTAGAGAGATCGAAGAAAGAGGGCAAGAACCTACATGTGAAAAAAAAATTTGCAAAGAAATAGAAACTAAGGGACTGTCCATCAATTGGGGAACAGCTAACCAAATTATAGTAGATGGATACAAAGAAATACTTTTGTGCTCTAAGAAATGATGGAGATAGTTTTTAGGGAAACCTGGGAAGGCACATATTGACTGAGGGAGAGTGAAGTGATTAAAACCAGAACAATTTACCCCATAACATCAATATTGTAATAATGAACAATTCTGGAAGTTCTAAGGACTCTGGTCAATCATGATTCCAGAGAAGACTAATGAAGAATGCTATTCACTTCCTGATTGAGGCACACATTTTGAGACATGGCCAATATGGGCGTTCATTTTGCTTGACTGTGTTTATTTGTTAGAAGGGTTTTATTTTTGTTTTTCTTGTTTTTCAGTGATGGGAATAGGGAGGAGAAGGGGAGAAAAAAATAAATGCTTGATAATTGAAAAAATAAAACATTTAATTAAAAAAAGATCATTGGCAACTTTGGAGAGAGCATTTTCAATAGAGTACTGAGTTTGGAAACCCAATTACAAAAGGCTGAGAAGCAAAGAAAGACATTCAAGATATTAACAGCTATGTGAAAAAAATGCCTTAAATTACTAATAATTAGAGGAATATAGATTTAGGCAGTTCTGGGGTTTCATTTCATAGCTAATCAGGTTGACAAAGATGACAATTAAAAATAATAGTCTTTGGGAAAGGCTGCAGGAAAAAAGGGCTCACTAATGCACTGTTGCTGGATTTGTGGATTGTTCTAGGCCAAGGGTGGGGAACCTGAGGCCTCCAGGCCACATGTGACCTTCTAGGTCCTTGGGTGCAACCCTTTGACTGAATCCAAACTTCACAGAACAAATCCCCTTAATAAAAGGATTTGTTCTGTGAAACTTGTACTCAGTCAAAACGGCACACCCAAGGACCTTTCTAGGCCACATGTGGCCTCAAGGCCTCAGGTTCCCCACCTTTGTTCTAGGTATTCTGGAGAAATAGCGTGGAACTATACAAAAAAACAGTCATTAAACCAAATATCTACTCTTGATCGACTGATACCATTACTAGGGCTATGAGATGAAACAAAGAGGAAAACAATCACACATGTTAAAAAATATAGCAGCTCTTTTTTTGTAATAGCAAAGAACTGGGAATGGAGAATAGCTACACAAATCATAGACTATGAATATAATGGTATATTATTGCACCAAAGAGATGACAAAGGAAACAGGTTCAGAGAAACTTGGTAAGACCTGGATGAACTAATGCAGAGTCAAGTGAGCAGAACCAGAACAACTTATACAATAATCAATTTACTGACCAGCTCTGATTCCAGAGGACCAGTGATGAAGTAGGGTACCCGTCACCTGAAGTCATGGACTCACTATACAAAAGGAGACATGCATCTTTGGACACAGCTAATCAAGGGTTTTGTTTTGCTTGACTATGCACATTTGTCATAATGTTGTTTAATTTTTTTTTTAAATTTCAATGAGGGTAGTGTAATAGGGTTGCCAAAAGAAAAGAAAAGGAAATAAAGAAAAGGCTTACAGAAGCTTTTCTTAACAGTGCATTGTAGAGTACAAAAGGAAGGCCAGAAAGAAACTCTGACTTAAGTGGAACAGTTTTGAAAGCTTCATGTTGAATTTATTATATTCTTAAAAGGAAAAGGAAGATGAACATAATAGAGATTTCCAGCTTCATGTACAATCCTTTTTTTTAGTCCTACTTTGTATATGTAAATGCTCATTTTATTTGTTTATTGCATTCAAAATAAAATGAGAGAGTGAGAGAAAAAGAAATGGAGACCACAGGTATTAACAGTTTTCTAGAAGTTTTACTGTGCATTCAAGGAGATAAATATATAAAATAACAGCTTTGGGAGATGGTAGTATCTAATTAATGTGTGTGGAGGACTTAGTTTCTTATATAATCAAATTAATATATCTCTTTTATAGTATTTCCTCTAAGTTAAACCATGTTAAGAACTTATCCCTTATCTACACTTGTGAAATATAATTTCCTTTCTTACATTTATTTTGTGCTTTAAATTTTTTTTTATATTGTTAGCACATTATTTATGATGTATGGTGTGAAAGACTGGTCTGTTTCCCAAACTGCTATCTAGTTTTCCCAATTATCAGCCATCAGGTGCCTGTTTGTAAGAGGATTGGCCATGGAAAACCAAATAAACAAAACTGGGTTTTCTCTATAACTCCTGGTTCTAGAGCAACTTGTGTTCAGCTAGGGGGTACCTGGGCCTAGGAGAAATCATGGGTGTGCTACCACATGATAGTAAGCTTCCTAAACCTTGGGTCTGATCACACTCCTCAATACAAACACACCCTCAACCTCTAGTGGCTCTCTGGCACCTCCAAGATCAAACATAAAATCCTCTGTTTGGACTTCAAAGCCCTGCATAACCTTGCCCACCCCTTCCCCCCATGTACTCTTTGCTCCAGTGACAGTGGCTTCCTTGTTGTTCCTCAAACTCTGTCTCCTGACTTGGTACATTTTCACCCCATGCCTGGAATGCTCTCCCTTATCTCTGCCTCCTGGTTTCCCTGACTTCCCTCAAGTCTCATCTAAAATCTCACCTTCTACAGGAAGTTTTCCCCAATCTCTCTTAATGCTAGTGCCTTCCCCTTGTTGCTCATTTCCAGTCTATCCTGTGGATAGCTTGTTTACATATAGTTGTTTGCATATTGTCTCCCCCATTAGATTGTGAACTCCTTTAGAGCAGGGACTGTCTGTTACCTTTGGATCTCCAGGGCTTAGCACAGTGCACGGCACACAGTAGGTATTTAATAAATGTTTCTATACTAACTGGTGAGTGTTTTGTTTTTTCTACGAAAAGAGTAAACCTGTTGTGGTTATAAATGTGTTCTGTCTGTTCCAGTGAAGAATGATTTCATTTCTGTCATGGTCATATGACTAAGGATCAGCAAAACATAAGTTCAGGGAAGAGTGAGGGTATTGGAGCTTGTGAGCCAATTATGATTGGGTAATTCCACAATCACCACACCCCTTAGACTAAGCCACTAAGAGAGAGATGGAGCTGTGGGATAGAAGGTCATCTACTCTCTGAAAACCATAGAGAGCTTGTCAATTTCCCAGCAAATCCATTCATCACAACTGTCATGGTAACTGTGGAACTTGACCCACTCCAGATCCTTCCTATTGAAAAGGATCAAGTTAGCGGCAAGCAGCACAACCTGGTGATTTAATTTCCATCTTTTCTATGCACGGGTATCCTCAGTCT